AAACAAACTTAGAAGTTTCTAAAGTCTTTGGGTCAAAGGTGTCAGGCAGGCAATGGTGCACTGGACTAGGAATGTGAGGCGAGTCCACTTGAAGGAGTGGGGGGTCGGAAACAAACTGGGGCCTCTGTCAGAGGTAATGTCAGCTGGGGAAACGCGAAACCCAAGTTGACAAAAATGCCCTGGCCACCACCGCCGCCGTCGTCCTGGATGACAGGGGGACCGCCTCTGGCCACCAGGTGGTACAGTAGCTTGTAACCTTGTGGTAGGGGACCCATCAGATCAAAATGCACATGATCAAAACGTTTGCCAGGGATGAGGAATGGCGCAAGGGGTGCCTTAGTGTGTCTATGGACCTTTGCGCGCTGGCATGAAACGCACGCCACTGCCCATTCCTTCACAGATGTGCGAAGGCCTGCCCAAACAAACTTGGAGCTGAGGCCCGGACCCCCGGGTGTGATAGAGCATGCGCCGATTCAAAAACGCAACAACACCATGAAACAGGAACCACGAGCGTGGGCGGCTGATGGAAACGTCGCATGATCAATGGGCTGTGAGGTCAGTTTCTTGATCATTAATATGCAAATTGTGACCACTGATCAATGGCCATGAGTACCATTCACAGAGAGTTGGAGAATGCACTCACAGCATTGTAACATGGTGAACGATGTACCCTCAGCCCCCCTCCTCGATTCAGAGGTGATCTTTTCCTTTTCACGTACTTCTTCAGAAGTCACTTGAGCGACGAAACGTTTCTCCCACTGAAAACGCTACGTTCCAGATGAACAGAATCAAGTTTTGGGGCGGAAAAATCCTGGATGTGGGAAATGGGATAACGATTGTTTTCCGTGATGTAATTTAGACGACGAAAATCTCCACAAGGACGCCACCAACTGTCAGATTTGGGCGCCAGGGCGAAGCCCAGGGACTATTCGAACTGCACAATACCCAGGCGCTCTATCCGGTCGTTAAGTGATGACGTGACGAATCCTACTTCCGGGCCTAAAGTAGTCTGTGTTTAATATGCTTTTGTGTTGTTAACATATTTAATGTTTTGTATTTTCTTCTATTTAATCTCAAAAAGCTCCTAAAACAGTCAGTGATCACTGTTGACCTCCCTCGGCTTTTATTACCTCTAATCATTTATTTAAGCTCA